AATGAGAAATTCAATGGGAAATGGGAGTAGAAAGCATATGGATTTGAGCCAGGACCACATTCTGATCTCTATGCCCCAAATCTTTTTGTCTTTCCACTGTAACAACATCAATATTAAAACTTCTGTTTCTATAACTTTAAATTTTCCGATATTATGTGTTTTTTCTCTTTCAGGCAAAATATAATAGGTTTGAGGTGCCTTACAAATTTTACTTTTTTTTCTGATGTGAGAAAAATTTAAAACATTTTATGTGACCCTAAAAGCTATTTTTTTCCTTCTCATTTTAAAAGAAAGTAAAATATTTCAAGGACTTCTGAAAGTTTTGTGAACCTCAGGCACTGTGCTTCTTGCACCTAAAGGATTCGTCAGCCTGGTTCTGGGGGAAAGAGAAAGGCTTCATTCAGCCTGCAGCACTCGCTGTGGGACTGCGGATGCACGGGAAGCTGGGGATTGGTCTTGTTTCGTGGAAGCTGTATCTCTGAGCCCAGAACTGACTGGCCTCAGACATTTGGCAAAAGTGTCTCCAGTTTGCCAGTGCATAAGTCTAATGGCTGTTTCTTTGCTTTTCTTCTAAATGCAGCAACTTAAAGAGTAGGAAAGAGCAGTGAACTGGAGTCCAGAAAACTAGAGGTCTGGTAGCATGTTTTGATGCTACGGAGCTGTGTGGCCATGGACAACCTTCATCTCAGGGGGTCTGTTTCAATATTTGCCAAATAAAAAAGTTGAATTAGACAATAACTTTTAAGCTATAATTTGTACCCTACATGCTTCTATCATATTATTAGAAAAAGTCTCACAGAGATAGACGCAGTTACTTATAAATGGAAACAGTTATACTTAGACCAGGATCTGGAAATAAGTTATTTACTATAATAGTGTATTAAATTTACTTGTGAATTTTCTGGCAGCTGAGAAATATAGTATTTCTATTGTCTGATCAAAGACAAGGTAGTACTTCTTTAAGGCTTTATTAAGGCTACTGCCATTTAATTTTTTTAAAAAAGCAAAAATTGATGCACAATCCACTACTTCAATAAATGCAGATATTTTCTTTCTAGTCTTTACCAATGTGAAATTATTCAATGGAACATTGCAAGATAAAATGTTTTGGTTTCCTGCTTTATTTCACTCAAGAAGGTACAACCTTTATTCTCGTGCTACTGCAATGTTTGTGCGCTATTTTAAATGCCTGTACAATACCAATTGGATATACTTAGCCATTCCTTGAACATTAGGTGTTTAGTTGGTTTTCAATTTTTCATCACTACTCAGAATAAGCAATTAATATTGTAGTGTTTTGCTTCTTTAAGATAGTTTTTATTACATGAATTCCCTGGAATGAGAAGATTCCATTAAAAAGTGTGAACATCGGCTGGGCAAGGTGGCTCACGCCTATAATCCCAGGACTTTGGGAGACCGAGGCGGGCGGATCACAAGGTCAAGAGATCAAGACCATCCTGGCCAACATGGTGAAACTCCATCTCTACTAAAAATACAAAAAATTAGCTGGGTGTGGTGACATGGCGTGTAGTCCCAGTTACCAGGGAGGCTGAGGCAGGAGAATTGCTTGAACCTGGGAGGCGGAAATTGCAGTGAGCCGAGATTGGGCCACTGCACTCCAGCCTTGGAGACAGAGCAAGCCTCTGTCTCAAAAAAAAAAAAAAAAAAAAAAAAAAGTGTGAACATCATTTGCTTATTTCTAAGTTTTGACCCTTTGTTTTCCTATGAAATTGTGCTGCCTTTACTCTCTAAATGAAGATAAATTTACTGGGGAATATTACAGAACAGTAAATCTTTTTAGTTCTAAAAATTCCCAATGAGCTTGTTGCAGGGGATGATTGATCTATGTGAAAGCAATGGAACATTTGATTTTGACTGGATCTGCTACTGGTATTAATGTACCTTTAGCATTTCATAGAGTATAGCCTATGCAGGGATAGAAGAACACCTGTTATTGAATTGGGAATGAACGGGGTCAGAGGTCGTGAGAAATAGAGTGGAATGTGTAGATGGGCAGCACGCTTCTCATACTGGGGAAGTTGAGGAAGTTCTATTTATTGTTCTTCTAATATGTTCCTGTGACTCGAATAGAGCTGGAATGACTCTGGATTGGGATAGCTGGGCTCAACTTCCCCACTATTTATGGCTGTGAGAATTTAAACGGAGCTGAGAGTTTCCTTCTTTCCTGGATCTCAAACAGTTTGGTCTCAGAGCGCAGAGCTTCCCCAAGTGTTTCCAGAGAAGACAGCCTGAGGGAGAGGAAGTGGTGCTAATTAAATCCTCCCTCTGTTTTCCAGGCACAGGAGCCTTTCGCAGATGTCTGTTGTTAGGCGTGTGTTCACAGAGTGCACAAATACAGAAGCAGGCTTTCCTTCCCCAATGACACAAACCTTCCTTCACAGGTTATAGAGAACTTTAGAAATGCATTTCCTTCCAACACCCACTGTGATAAAGGTGGCAGACCTACATACATAGAGCATGTAGCTGCCAGGGACAGGGAAGCCAGAGTGCCTCCTCTCTGTCTCTTTTCTATCTCTGTCTCTGTCTCTGTCTCTCTCTCTCTCTCTCTCTCTCTCACACACACACACACACACACACACACTTTCTCCTGCTTCTTCATTCCTCATTTTCTCAGAGACCAATTTCTACCTTTTGCACACCTAACTTTCAAAAATTACCTAAAAGCTCAGAGACATCTTTTCTGTCATAAGGCTGCATGATATGGTGCCTTATGACAGACGTTGGGTGTGCTGTACTGGGGGCACGGTTGGGAGGCCATCTGCTACTATGACTATCAAAGTGTGACCCTGGGTGATTCCCATCTACTCTATGTTCCTCGGAAAGACGGGGAAAGAGTAAGTAGCTTTTCTAGGATTGCTGGAAAGATCGGGTAAGAAAACATATAAATCTTAAAACATGTAAAGCAAACTGTGTAAGGCTTTCCACTTGTAAGTTACTTTAGCTGTGTTTTCTCCTACATTCAAATCCTCAGGGCAAACATGTATATAGATCCACATTTGACTGAGAGAGTCCAGTTCACTCCTATCATCCTGACATAATTGCCAGTAGCACCCTTTTCATGCCAAAATATCCAAAATTAGCTAATAAATTATAGGATCATACTATTTTTACCGCTTATGAATACCCTAGTTAATCCCAGTTTCAAAAGTGGAAGCTTGCTGGGGTTAGGGGCTTTTTCTCACCTTCCTTTGTTTCACAAGAACCAAAGAAATTGATTAAAAACCACTTTTGTTTAAGAACAAGGAGGTGACTCTGAGAATAATATGGCATTCCTACTTTCATGTTGAAAATGGACATGAAACTTTCTAGGATAACATGCTCACTGTCAGCTTGAAATGATCTGAGTGCACATTTTGCCAAGCTACCATGTGCCTTCTATTTTATTTTGCTTTGCTTTGTATGTACAAAATAGAAACCACTCTATTATATTTATTTATTTTAAACCATGTGTGATCATTACTAGCACCCACAGACATGGAAACAAAAATAAAAATCACCTCTAACGCTGTCATCTAGAGATAATTATTGTTAATATTTTATTTTACTTCTTTTCAGGCCCTCTTTTTAGATGTTTTTAAATCCGTTATATCATACATGTATGCCTGTATATACATATGCAGGTACATTTCCTTCCTTCCTTCCTTCCTTCTTTTCTTTTCTTTTCCTTTCTTTCTTTTCTTCCCTTTCTTTCTTTTTCTTTCTTCCCTTTCTTTTTCTTTCTTTCTTTCTTTCTCTTTCTTTGTTTTTTCTTTCTCCTTTTTCCTTCTTCCTTTCCTTTCCTTCTTCCTTTCCTTTCCTTTCCCTTTTATCTTTCTTCTCTTTCTAAATTATTTTAACAAATTGGAATAATATTATTTATAATATTTTGTAACTTACTTTTTTCCATTTATAATATATTTTGGATATTTTTTGGTGATGAAAATATACACTCACACTTGTATTTTATAGTATGGTACAACATATTTTATTTAGTCAACTTCTTACTGATGGATACCTTTTTATTTTTATTTTTTGGTGTTAGACACAATGTGGCATGAATGTCTAATGTTATTTTTATACACAGTGTTCTTCGATGAGATATAAATTAGTGTGTTTTTCTTTTACATATAACGTGGTATACTAGCCTGGAGTGCAGTGGAATAATCTTGGCTCACTGCAACTACCACTTCCTGTGCTCAGGTGATCCTCCCACCTCATCCTACCGAGCAGCTGGGACTATGGGCACATGACACCATGTCTGGCTAATTTTTGTATTTTTTGTAGAGACTGGGTTTCACCATGTTGCCCAGGCTGGTCTCAAACTCCTGAGCACAAGGGATCTACCAGTCTCAGCCTCTTAGAGTGCTGGGATTACAGGCATGAGCCACGATGCCCAACTGAACAACTGTGTGTGTGTGTGTGTGTGTGTCTGTGTGTGTATGCAGGTGCATGCGTGTGAGTCTTTGGGTATTCATCTAAATTATTTCCTTAGAATAAATTTTTAGAATTCGAATTTTTCAGTTTAAAAACATGTTCAGTTCTAAGTGCTCTTATGCTCTATTATTACCCAAGAAGCACAAAAGAAAATGCATTATCATTGCTTTTAACTCTTAAGCTTTCAGTCTGGTGAATTTTCAACCAAAAATGCTATGCAATTTTGAAGAGAAATTGTCTGGTAATTATTTTATACAGCTCTTCTGTTGTTCAGGTTCCTGTCTCCTGGGATTAAAGATGAGAAAATGAAACTACTTGCAAACTCCTTTTCTCTGTCCGGAGAGACTCTCCTTCACTCTTCTGGTAAATGACCTGCAGGATTATGGATGGTATTTAGAAATCTGTGTTATGAAGCTGTATCCACCAATGCCTCTGTTTAGTTAACATGAGGGATGTTTTTAAGTTTCAGGAATGCCATTTGCTCATCATATTCTGTTTTGCCATAGCTAGGACACAGGTATACAGGCAACATTTTTTCCAATGAGATTTTTCTGCCCTTGTTTTAGGCTGAAGAAATGTCAACAATTGGGAGTTTTGAAGGATTCCAGGCTGTGTCCCTGAAGCAAGAGGGAGATGACCAGCCCTCTGAGACTGACCACCTATCGATGGAAGAAGAGGACCCAGGCAAGGACCCGATGCCAAGACAGATTTCAAGGCAGTCAAGTGTGACTGAATCTACTCTTTTCCCCAATCCTTATCATCAGCCTTATATCTCACGGAAGTACTTTGCTACACGGGTAAATTTATTGGTTCCCTTAAATACTACATAAAAATTCACCATAAAACATCTTAAAATCCTTCTGTGTATCACATATTTACCAAGCGTATTCACATTTGTTTCATGTAATCGTCATAATAATCATGAAGTAGGTATCCTTATCCCTATTTAAAGATGAAGGATCCGAACTTTAGAGAATTTAAAGATCTATTTTAGATTCCAGAGGTAGTATTAAGAAGTATGTTCCCCAGCTTCCTTCTTTGGTTCCTCAGTTTGTGTTTATGCTAAACCTGATCTCAAAGAACTAATATTGTGTAAGGAGAGAACCATAGTAGCTAGAATACAAAGCTATTAACCCGGTGAGGGTATTCATTGTTTGTGTGGAAAAGATGTGGATAATGGAGTGGAGAGGGTTGCTAAGGATGCACTGACTCTCTAAGGTTTACACTGGGGTGCTCATATTACAATGTGGGGGCAGGTAGTGTTAAATCTCAAATCTACAGCTACCGTCTGGAGATGAGCTCTTTTACCTGCGCAATGGAGCTGGGAAAGTAGATGGATGGGTAAGTAAGCAGGAGGGAGCTCGTATATCTAGATGTTAAAAAACAGTATTTTTAACTTTTAACATTTGGATCCAGTGGAGAGTGCTTCACAGGTTTCTAGTACCTTTCCCTCTTGAGCTCTTCCTCCTACTTACAGATCCTCTTTCCAATCCTTCAACATTCTTATTAGCACAGTCATGGTTAGCTTAGGGGCTATGATCAATTGGGGGCAAAATCAGGGAGTTTACACCATGGCAACAGAGAACATCTCATTTTCATGTGACCGTGGGAGATCTCTTTTTGGAAAAAAATGTATTTCAACTCATTCTCATAAAAAATTGGGGCCAGGGTTTTGTAACTTTTCCAAAGCTTTAATTAATAAATCCTGATTTGGTTGCTTTCAAAATATATCTTTGGTTTAGGTAAAGTTTTAACTAAAGCAACTTAATGAGAGAGTGTGTGTGTGTGTGTGTGCGCGCCTGTGTGAGTCTGTGTTTAAACATTGCATATACTCTTACGTGCAAGATGCTTCAGTAGGTGCTATACTATATGTGTGTTTGTGTGAGTGTTTCTGCATATGTAGAGCATATGGTTTGTTTTCCAAAGTATGTGAACTTTATTCAATATGCAAAGTTAAGCTGTGTGATATAGCTGCAAAGGAAATCAAAGCATCTCTTGGAGTTGTGCTATCTTTGATATTGATGATGTCAGGGTTTGATGATAGAAGAACACACTGTGATATAGAATAGGAGATTTATTATTGGGAGCTGATTTATTATGAGAGCTGGCTGAGACTATGGAAAATTGTCTTCTCTGAATCTGGTGTTGGACCTGAAGTTAGAATAGGCCAACCAGTTGGCAGTTGTGAAGAGGAAATAGGGAAAAAGAAATAAGAAAACAATTGCATGGACAAACTGGAATTTCTGGTGACAATGTTTAACTTATGAGGAAAAACTGGAACCTATGTCTGTCTCCCACCAAGTTTAACTTTGATGATGTGAGGTCACTTGTAGAAGCTAGTGCTTTCATTACTGAGCTACACACTTAGCCAGCCCAGGAAGAGGAAAATCTTAGAAAGAAAGCCTGACCGTGATGGAAGGAGATGCAGGTACAGGGGCTACCCCTTGCCATCAGGTAAACCAGGATATCAGTTGCCATGAACATGAGTTGTCACAGTGCATGGTGACCTGCGCTGATCTTCAACAGGGAAAACAACTTATGTTTCAATTCTGCCTTTTGAATATTACACAGGTGTCTATTGTTGGCAGTCCTAATTGGGAAACACAGCCAAAAAAGCAATTCTAGAAAATGTAGCTTCAGCTTAGCTAAACTGACAGAGACCAAATCCACTACACATGATGATTGTATTGGTGTTGCACCATGTAGGTTATACAGCAAACGCACATCCTTTATCTGTTTGATTCCCCAGAGCAATACTGCGAGGCAGGCAGGAGAGGGCTTACCATCCTTGTTTTAAAGATGAACATATTGAAATTTGAGAAAAATGAAGTGACCTGTCCAAGTCATATAATGTTTGTGGAAGAGCTGCAGCTAGATTCCGGGTCTTGATTCTGGATCTTCTTTCTCCAAGTCCAACACTCTCCTAACCATGTACAATAGAATTTATGGCTCCTTTATAAGTGTTTTCAATGACTGATTCCAATAAATTTGAAGAATATCTCTTTCATTAGGTGTATCGAAAACAATCTTAAGTTCTCAAAAGCTTGTGAGGGAAAATCTTCTAATTATTAGTGAATCTAAAGTAAACCTGAAGACTCTGGGGACGAATAGGGAGATTTTCCCAAGGTACTCAGCATTTGCCCTCCTTCAGACCAACAGACATAATATGAAGAGCTCTTATTGCCATGTGAGTAAAATAAATGTGCATTCACACAAGTGAGAACAATGGAAATACAACTGTTGGCTTAACTGAAATTTATAATGATAAACTTAAAAAACAGATCCAGCTTTACTAGCTTATAAACCACAAGTCTGCTAATGGGTGGTAGTTGAAAAAAACTGGAGAGAAATGTGTGTGTGTTGGGGGGGGCGGGATATTGTATGTATATGCATGTATTTCCTCATCTACAAAGTATAGATAAAACACCAATTTTATACAGAAATTTAAATAAGCTAACTTTGTAAAAGTTCTTAGTAGAGTGCATAACACATCTATCAATATTTTATAAATGGTATCTCATTGTTGTTATAAATGCTTTCTCTTTTTTCTTGACTTTACATCCACTTTTCTGTAATTGGTCATAGGAAAAAACATTAAGATGCCCATGACCTCTTCTTGATCTTCAGGGTAAGATATAAATGTAGACATATAGGGTCTGTAGCAGTAAAAAGGAAGCTAATTCATTTTCTCAAGGGAGAATTCAATAAGATCAAGAGTCTCAAAGATTCAAATCTATGAAGGAGTCATGATAAAATATGACTTCTTGAAGCTGAAATGAGATCTACAGATGATATAGTCATATGCTTCTCAATCTTTACCATGCAAAACATTATATTCTAGATTTCCATAAAGTCTTTGGTGATATTGATGCTCTCTGTCCTGAGACCACATTTTGAGCACCAGTGAGATAATCAACACACTTGTTCTCAAAGGAAAGCAAGGCTCAGAGAAGGGAGAGTTGCTTGCTCAATGTCACAGTAGTTAGTGACCACTGACTTGCCCAAGAGGGTAGCAAGTGGCAAAGCTAGGGCTCGAACTAATTTCCCAATTTATAATTAGATTCAATTAAAAAGAAATCAACTTCTCATGGAGTAAGAATTTAAAGTGTATATGTTGTACATTCAGAAGGGTAGTCATTGAGTGGAGGAATTACGTGGTCAGGTATTTTATATTATTAAAATGTTTTAAAATTATTGCACAGGAGGTGGTTTATTGAAGAAAAATTAGAAAATGTAAATAAGCAAAGTAAAATAAAGATTACCATTGCCCAAATTTAACCAAAATGTATTAAATCTGCTCTTATATATTTAGGTGCATATTCTTTTTTTCTTTCACTTATATATACACAATTTCTTGTGTAAAAATGGGATTATATGTCAACTATTATTTCCCATTTCAATAACATACTTCCATAATACAATTTTTAATAGTTTTATAATATCCAACTATAGGAATATACTACAATTTATTTAACTTTTGTTGTATATATAGGTTTCTTCCTGTCTAAATTTTTTAAGCTAGAAAGGAAAGTTACTCACTGGCTCCCTGTGGCAGGATAGTGCTCAATTTCTCCAGTGCCAGGAGTAAACAGCCAATGCCATAATCAGAAAGAAGCTCAATTATATGAATTACAAATTAGATTTACAAAGAGGTGACTGACACATAAATTAACTATTGACCAACGAGTCAATTTTAGCATCATAACCTCATATATGAGAACACATCTCTCAATACTGGATCATAAAAACAAGTATATCTGGCCGGGCGCGGTGGCTCACGCCTGTAATCCCAGCACTTTGAGAGGCCGAGGTGGGCGGATCACGAGGTCAGGAGATCAAGATCACAGTGAAACCCTGTCTCTACTAAAAATACAAAAAATTAGCCGGGCGCGGTGGTGGGCGCCTGTAGTCCCAGCTACTCGGGAGGCTGAGGCAGGAGAATGGCGTGAACCCGGGAGGTGGAGCTTGCAGTGAGCCGAGATCGCGCCACTGCACCTCCAGCCTGGGCGACAAAACTAGACTCCGTCTCAAAAAAAAAAAAAACAAACAAACAAACCAAAGAACAAGTATATCTGGCCCCTTAAACCTCCTGTATCCTTTATGGGTCACTCTGGGATGTTACTTCCTTTCCTCAGGCTTCCAACCTATTATCTATTTTCTGACACTGTGTGCCTCTGACTTAGCTTAGGAGCTCCCACTAGAAGGGTCTTGAGGAATATTGAATCCAACCTTTGATGCACACAAATGAGGTATGACTTGGTGCCAAGGTCAACCAGCAACCTCTGGGCCATGCAAGAACTAGAAGACAGGCCTGGAACCCAGAACTCTCGATGCTTTCTACCACAGCCCACTGCCTCTGACTTTGGAAAATGAATGAAAGGTCACAGAAACAAAGATCCAAACCACTTGCCATCAGTCTGCTTGGATAACCTTTTCCTTTGGTTTTAGTTCATCTGCTATTACTGCTTAGACATATCTAAAAAAGGCCCAGTGGCTTCTCTGAACAAAAGTACCCCTCAAGGCTAATAACTAGAGGTATATTATGATAATCTTCTTGGTTGTGGAGACTGATATTCAAAAGCAACTTCTTATGAAAGGAACAATACTTAGTCCACATGGGGAAATATATTTTTAAACTCTCTGTAGGACTCTATATTTGCAGATACCTTATCAGAAAGTTGAAAGCGATTTGGGATGGGGAATTATCTCTAAATTTATACTCGAGAATGTAAATTACATACAAACTAATGGGACTGAAACTATTTGATCTTTTAATATTTAATTAACGGTTCCCCGTGGCGTTTTTATAGTCTGTGTTCTATTGTGAGCAATGAGACTTTAATAAGCAGGTTCAGGACTTCCCATTGTGTAGCAAGATGTCATTGCTTCCATGACACTAATTTGGCTTTCATACTCTCTTTCTTTCCCTCTTCTCTTGCTATAGGGTTCCGTGTCTTGCTCTCACATTGGGAGCAAATAAATATATTGGTTGTGTTACTGCCGGTGTGGGCTTCTTTCTGGTGTAGAAAATAGTCATCTCACTGGGCAAAAGGTTTCTTGACTCCCTCCAACCCTGAAATCCTGTGAAGATTATTAAAACATAAATTATTTTTCTTTATGAGAGCAGAGGACTAACCACAATGAGATACGATACATTCCCTTCATTTTCAGGTAAAGACAAATTTGCTTTGACTTTAAAAGACATATCTGATTTAGAGCTGATTTTCTTACTTTATGTGTTCATTGCAAAGTGACTGCAGTCTGGACATGACAAGAGAGACTGAAGTGTCTGAGTCTGCAGAGACTTTCTTTTCTATACCACTGCTGTTTAGCTAAGGAGCTCATTACATGGAGAAAAATTAGCACAGACATGGACATTATTTGTGTGACAACTGGCCTCAGGCTAGTGTAGCTCAAGGCAATGTAAGGAAACAAACACATATGTTTTCAAAATTCCCCCAGTAGGTTTGCTTTAACTAACACTATTCAGTGCTAGACTATAAAAGACAATATTGCCTGTTATGTTGTGTTGGATGATGTGGACATATTATTCCACCATATTTCCGTTTGTCTTAGGCTGCATGATGTCTCAGAGCTGATTATTCAATTACAGTAAACATTTGATCCCCAAATTCTGGTATAACTATTTTCCTACATAATATCAGCCATCATGGGAATGATGATAAATATTTTATTAATCAGTATTTATCATTTTATATATAATACTATAATATATATAGTGTTTTGTAGCATGACTCAGTTACAGTTATTATCTTATCCATCTAATAAATGAGCAAAATGATGTGTAGAATAACAAAATGGTGTATAGTGGATCCTGATAAGAAAGGCTGAGATTTAAACCTAATGTCCCAGACACAAGTCAATGTATTTACACTTTTATATTTGGCACTGAATGACTAAAGTTAACTTATTATAATAACTATAATAGTAATATAGGGGAGAGTGCAATTCTGTATCTGGGTGTATTTTCCTTCTGGGTTCTATAAGGGCTTGACCTACATTTTTACCAAAGATAAGAACTGCACAGTGAGAAGACTGATAGAAATCCAGAGGCTACCAATTCATTCTGTAAAGAACATGCTTTATTTTTTGTGTCTAACTTTTGAAAAGGTATACAGCAAAACATCACCTTCATATTCTATCTTCATCACATTCTTTGTGACCCATAGGGAACCAATGTTAATAGTTTCTATATATCCTTCAAGAGTTACTTTAGGCACAGAGAAGCAAATACAAATATATGTTTTTATTCCCTCTCCTCCTTTTTATACAGAAAATGGCATATTTTACCATCTCTTCTGACCATTTTTTTCTTTCATTTGATAATACATTTAAAAATCTTTCCATATGAACACAATTTTCTTCACACCTTTAATAACTTCATCATATTGCATTGTATGAATGTATCCTATAATATATATCCATAGTTCTTTATTGAGAGATGTTTGTGGTTTTTTTTCCAGAAATTTTTGCTATCCAAAAACAAGCCTGCAAAGAATACTTTATAGATATGTCATTTTGTATATATGCAAAAATTTCTTTAGTATAATTTCACAGAAGTGAAAATCTGGATCAAAGGATAGATCATTTTCCATTTTGATAGGCTTTGCCAATTATTTTCCATAAGCGAGGCAAATAAGGTTTTAAAAATTCTACATGATTATATTCATCTTCACATATCTTTGGCAAAGTGCCTGGCATAAAAGCATTCAATAAAATGCTTATTTTAGGATTATTTCATTACTCTTTAACTCTACTTAACAATTTTTTCTTCTGGAAAATATTAGTCTCACTACTAAGTTATATTTGTTGAGATCAAAATTATGTGAATACAGGAAGAGAGACCCCAAAACATACCCATGTTGAGTCATCAAGGGAAGTATTATTTTGGAGAGGACAAGTGGGACTGGAAGAGTCAGACTGCATCACAGGGAGCAGAGGTTGAGTGTAGGGAAAATTGTCATAGAATCATAGGCAACTCCCCTCCAGAGTCATCTAGCCCTGCCAGTGGGGTCACTGGAGGTGACTGATGTTGGCACAACCTTCTCTGTTGAAGTACATTTGAGCAGTGGTTCTCTTAGTGCAGCCTCCACACCATGAGTGGCCCCCAAGGACTTGTTAGAAATACAAATTCTCAGGTCCCACCCTGGTCCAGCAGAATAACATTCTCTGGGTGTAGTTCCAGAAATCTATGTTTTAACACATACTTCAGGTGATTCTGATGGGCATTGAAATTTAAGAGTCATTGAGCTAGAGAGTCTATGAACTTGCTAGAACAGATGGCAATCAATCTTTAAGCTAAGGCTGGGCCTATAAGTAGTAACACCTGTTCGGGGAAGGCTGCAGAAAATGAGGTGAGGAGACAGACCGAGTTTATCTCCCTGAGTCAGCTAAAATTTATTGTCAGAGTGTTGGAAGAAGGTTATTTTGTGTTTTATTGACATGTGCTCTAGGAAAAGAAAAAAAGGTTTAATTTAAAAATGTACAGATTCCTAAAGGCTTTGAACTTTATAATGCTTGTTTGGGAAAACTGTTCCTCTGAAAGTGGCTGTCTTCATTTATATATTAAAATCTGAGTAAGATTGTAGAAGATGGGGCTAGACCACTTTTTCTCCACCCAAGGAGAAAAGCTTGCTAGAGTTCAAGACTAAGTTCTCTGGAAGGCAGTTAGGCATACAGGCAACTGAATAAACCATATCCTTTGTGACCAGCTTTCCCGAGAAGCTGCTGGAATATACTAACTAATCGTAAGAGCAAAGTGGGCTAAGTCTGCTCTAAACTAGGTATTTTCTTCTTTCCACCTAGCCGGGGGCCATTGAGACTGCCATGGAAGACTTGAAAGGTCACGTAGCTGAGACTTCTGGAGAGACCGTTCAAGGCTTCTGGCTCTTGACAAAGTGAGTAGTTACAGCTGAGTGAAGGGCCGTGGAAATACAGCGTTTTCCTTGACATCACTGTAATAGAATAGGAGATGAACCTGTGGTAGAATTTGTCTGGTTGCTACATAAGATAAATGATTGAATTATCAGGCTAGTCACATTTTCTGGCATTCCATGGGGATGGTATGACCAGATATGACTCCTATAACTGTTTTCTGGGCTGGTCCCCTCACTCAACCATCACTATGTCTACCTTAGGTCAGGCCTGTATCACCACTCTCAAAGACTGTTATATCGGCTTCCTAATTCTCTCATTCTAATCTCTCTTATTTAAAATCACACCCCCTATAAACATATTGAACTACTACTCATCTCATTTTAGGTGTCACAGAAAGAAAGTCTGGGAAAGAAGATAGATAAAATCAACATAGACACTTTGAATTTGATCTTATATACAATCATATGAACAGGAAAACCAGGGAAATCATGAAGAGAGCTAAGACAGGTGCATTTCCAGAGTTAGAATAAAAACCAAGTCTAACATTCAAGCCCTTATTGTGTCAATAACTGCCTGCATTCCCCCCAAAGATTACCTTATCCGTAAGAGCTTTGATTGCAGATACCACCACAAAGATGGTCACATTTCTAGCCTTCCTAGAAATTATATTGTTTGTGTGACCATCTCTTTCCCCGCCAAGTAAATATTAGTAATACCGTGGTCTTTATAATAATAAGTAAAATACCCCCATAATAAGAGAAAAAGGCAATTATTTTTTACTACGGAAGACTTAATATTAAACAGACAATTTGATTAGACCACCCAGTTCAGATACTTGATTAATTTAGTAAGTTCTGTTTTCCGGCTTAGTAACTTTTTTTGTTTGTTTGTTTGAGACGGAGTCTCTCTCTGTCGCCCAGGCTGGAGTGCAGTGGTGCGATCTCGGCTCGCTGCAAGCTGCGCCTCCCAGGTTCACGCCATTCTCCTGCCTCAGCCTCCTGAGTAGCTGGGACTACAGGCGCCCGCCACCGCGCCTGGCTGATTTTTTGTATTTTTAGTAGAGACGGGGTTTCACCATGTTAGCCAAGATAGTCTCGATCTCCTGATCTCGTGGTCCGCCTGCCTCGGCCTCTCAAAGTGCTGGGATTACAGGCATGAGCCACTGCGTCCAGCCCTGGCTTGGTAACTTGATCACAAAAGGGTTCAGCAGAGAAGCTCAGTGATTCCTATGCCTTGAGCAAATAATCATTAATCTTTAACTCCTGGGCAGGATGTCTTGTTAGACTAAGTTTCAGGAGGGCAACACTTGAATGTTTTACCATCCAGGCCAGCAGAACAAATTTTTCAATCAGTGGGAAGTAGCACCATTATCACCTGTGAGTTCATCTGACTGATCACCATTTTATACTATTGTTCCAAATGCATTCCAGGCATTAAATACAAACGAACTCTTAGACACCAACCTGTCTGTCAGTTTTGGGTTTTTGTTTCTTCACGCATAAAATGGAGATAATAGTATGTATCTGAAGAATTCTTGAGAGGACCAAGTGAGATAATATTGGTAAATTAGCAAAACACCCAGCACATGGACTTTCAATAGCAGTTAGTGTCCCTCTTTGTTCACAAGTAGTAACTATTAGTAAGAGGCTCTTTTTCGTAGTGTCCGCCTTCATTTCTATCCTATCCATCTCTGTCATTTCTGGGTTACCGCTAATGAAAAGGAAACTCTGTAATTCAGGCTTTTTCCTAATTCACTTTTACCAACACTCATTTCATTTCCCACTCCCCACTTTCCATCCAGAGTGAAATTTGACTTCTGCAAATGAATAGTCGACCTTGGTTAGAATAGGTGTCAACATAGATTTTGGAGATCCAATCAGTAGTAAACACTTAACTAATTTGTTTCTAGATTGCAACTCCCTTACAAGGAAGAATACATAAATGTGGTATTTCTAAATCTAGTCAGGGCTGTTGTTGAGTTCTCAGATAACAAAACTGGTAATTTCTTTAATATTGCACATTTTAATTAGTTTTATTTATATAGAAATATGCTTTTTTGTTTGCTTGATTATTTTTATTCAGTGATTATAAAGATGTGTCGACATAAATTGTCCCAAGCTAAGTCAGACTATGAATTGTATTGAAGCTTAGCACTACAATTCTGCACGCTTGATTTAACATCAACTACAATGATTGGTAACATCAGTAGTTTTCAGAAAAATATGAACAGCTGTCCCCCAAAGACCCAAACTTTGAACCCAGCTTGAACCTAATAGGAAGCTCAAAAGTTGGTAAGGCCTATCTAGAAACTCATTTTACATTTCTCTTTTGTTTTGTGGTAGGTATTTAAATTAACTACAACAATGAGGGATGAGTCCTGCATACATGCAATTTCTTACTATCATATTTGCTTGTTTGCTTGCAGACTTTCTTCCTTTGCACTTTGGAACCCATCCATCTCCTTTAAATTGTAGTTCCTTGGTGTTCTTTTAGGTCTTCTCTCTGCCAAAATCCTTTACCTCCTCTTCCCCATTAAAACCTACTTTCCGGAAAAGTTCTGATTTCAGTCATTTCTGCCATAGTGAGAATTTGACAGTTTATTTTCTTTCTTCGTGGGTTCCGAGATGCGTTATGCAATGGAAAGAGCTGCTAGTTGTAAAGACGGTGGTTCAGGCATCTGGTCCAAATAAATAAGGTTCCTAGTCTAGCCACTGTTACTTTTCAAGCAGAAAAGTAAGAAAAAATAATTGTCAAAAAGAGGAGCATTCATGGAGGATTTGAATGGCCTTTCATATTTAAGCCTTTTTGTTTGTTTGTTTGAAAATTCTAGCACACCAAGGTAGGGAAAAGCAAAAACAACAACAATGAGAACACATAAACAAAAATCCCAACTCCCCCAACAGCAACCACAAAACAAAAAAACTAAACAAAATAAGCAAACATGCAGGCCCAGAAAGGTGAGAGCTTGCAATTACTCCTGGCTTCTTTTTATAACGGAATGAGACCCATTTATTTAGTTCTTATGAATTATAGGAGCTGTAATGTGGACCAACTGCCCTAGCCTCACCAACCACACAAGATTCTCTTTTATGTATGACAAAAATGACTGAGTTTCATGCACATTAACTTTTAGCTCATTCCATGGAGATGGGACACTCCTGGCTGCTTGTCTAGCAACCTGGCTGCCTGTCTGGCATGTCTGGCTTTGGAACAAGGATTCTCATTTCAGAATGATGAGAGTAAAAGCCCTTTTACTGTGTATAGCACATTATAAATTATTTTCACATCTGTGAACTTATGTTAGCTTCACAACAACTTTGTTGGTTTTATGATTCCCATTTTATAAATGAGGAATGTGAGCTGGAGAACATGAAGTGCCCAAATGAGGAACGTGTAAGTGTTAGAGCAAGGAAAATAGACTGCACCCCTGCATTGGCCTTCAGGCTGATTGGGTTCTAATTATTTCCAAAGATGCAGGGGTGAGTTGATTGATGAACTCAGCTCAATCTTTAGTCATGTTTGATCAGAGTCCTTTAATCAGAAATAGTTTGATGTAGGAGGGCAAGGTGGGAATTGTCAAGAGAAGAGACTGGAAAAGAGCCTAAGGGCCTTTGCATCATGTTAAAGAACTTAGGTTCTATCCCATATGTGATGGGGAGGCACTGAAGGGTTGAGAAAGTACAATCAATTTCCATTTTATAAAGATCACTATCGGCCCTCAACCTTTCATCTAAAATTGTTGGGACTAGATGTGAATCAGAAATGAGAATTTTTTCAGATTTCAGAAGAATAAAACAATGCATATGTTGTTTATTTTACTAACATTAAGTTGGTAAAGTCATTTTCCAAGAAGTGGTACTCAAATTAATTCAGGTACGCTGCTTTGTGATTCTCTAAATTGACATGGACACATTATTCAATAAAATCAGAAAAACAAGTTTGCAGGCACTTCGGAAGAGAACACAAAGAGAATAAACAGAGGGTCCAAGAGGGGCACTGGAGAGATGCAGCCCTAAACTTCAGCTAGATCCCAGTTTAGCTGACATCATTAAGAGAATTCTAATGAATCTTCAATTGGGATTCAGGCCTCCAGCCGAGCTCATCCAGGAGTGTTATATACAGCTACAAAGGCAGGATAGTATTTATTTCCACCTTGCAGTTTCCTATTACCCTTTTATTGGCCCTTCTGAAACAAAGCGATTATTTTTAAAATTATGTGTATGCGTTTAGAACCGATCCATTAAGCCGGCACCAAGGAGAACGTCTTGACACTCTATGGAATCTCAAAAAGTATAATATGATGGCAATAAAGTGGCTCTTCAGCAGAATGTGTTTGAGGTGTCTTTGTCTACAATGGTTAAAGAGACAGGAGGAGACAGCGCCTTCCTCCACACACGTTAGTGTGAAGTGGTCGTGGTGGATTGTTGTTCTTATTCTTCTTATTCCTCATTGAGAGTAGTTGCCTAAGGTATCTAAGAAGCGGTAATTCTTGCTCTTCATCTTTGTAAAAGATACTGAAAATATGTTTCATTATTCCCCCAAGTCCACCTGGTGTCTATCCCAGGGCTTCAGTGTAATTAATATGTGAAATCGGACTGTCTATGCGTAACATATAGACAGTAGAATCAAAGTGAAGTTGAAGAGTCAGCCAGGTGTCATAGAGAAAGCACTGAATTCAGAATCAGAAGGTTTGGCTTTGAATCCTGGATCTACTACTTACTATCAGTAAAGCTGGGTGAACTTGGATAGGGTTTGTCTTTTTAATTTTTTTAATTAGTGAATTTGTTTTAATATGTCCTTCTTTGCTTTAATGTTCGATTTAATATGTCCTTGTTTTAATAGTTTTTCCTCTGTTGTGCATAGATTCCCCATGTAATAGGTCCTTTAGTTCATTAGATATTTACTATTCTTGAAAGAAGCACATCCACTTTTAATTTTTGAGATATATATATATATATAATTCCAGCTTATATTTATGCATTCTTGCCAAAAATTGTTACATATTAATAATGACATTTAT